CCCAAAAATAACAATAAGTTCAAATATTTGTGCAGAGAAACACAAATCTATTACAGAAATCTTTTTTAATTGATGAACTCTTTTCTTTTACAAAATATTATAATATTATGAACAACCTGAAACTTTAAGAAAAATACAATTTCAACACAAAGTTTTAACATGAACTTGTCTGTAAACAGGAATAAGTCCATTTTTGTTGTAAAATCCTGCACTCGGCTCCACTTTTCTCATGTTGGACATTTTTCTGATGAGGGTGTCACGGTCAACAGTCAAAACGATCGTCCTTTAAGAGCGTTTGGAAAGAGACAAGTCTTCATTTGTGCTGCTCTGGTGGGAGGGGCCACGTACAGAGACGCTGGAGACGCTGCTGTGATAAACACCACAGAAAATTAACAAGATTTTAATAGAAAATATCATTACAATATTTTAGTAGAAAATCACTCAAGGGCCACATTAAAGGTCTTGGAGGGCCGGATCTGGCCCCCGGGCCATATGTTTGACACCTGTGTTTTATGGAAACATCCAATCATTATTATTATTATCATTATTATTAAAGATTTTATCAGTTTTATTTTGGGCTGATCACGTCGTCCAAACCCTCAAAATGTGAAACAGCCTCAAAACAGCAGAAAATGAAACCAGATGTTTGTTTTGTTTGTGTTTTGTTTGTGTTTTGTTTGTGTTTTGTTTGTGTTTTGTTTGTGTTTTGTTTGTGTTTTGTTTGTGTTGTTTTGAGCTGTGACAGTTTTCATTTGTGCGAGTTTATTTCTAAAATGATTAATTATTTTTATGTGTGACTTTAGTATCCTTGATTGCAAATAAATGACTTAAAATGTATAATTAAAATGTACTAAACCACAGGTGTCAAACATACGGCCCAGGGGCCAGATCCGGCCCTCCAAGACCTTTAATGTGGCCCTTGGGTGATTTTCTACTTAAATATTTTAATGATATTTTTCTATTAAAATGGTTGTTAATTTTCTGTGGTGTTTATCACAGCAGCGTCTCCAGCGTCTCTGTACGTGGCCCCTCCCACCAGAGCAGCACAAATGAAGACTTGTCTCTTTCCAAACGCTCTTAAAGGACGATCGTTTTGACTGTTGACCGTGACTCCCTCATCAGAAAAATGTCCAACATGAGAAAAGTGGAGCCGAGTGCAGGATTTTACAACAAAAATGGACTTATTCCTGTTTACAGACAAGTTCATGTTAAAACTTTGTGTTGAAATTGTGTTTTTCTTAAAGTTTCAGGTTGTTCATAATATTATAATATTATAATAAGAAAGAGTTCATCAGTTAAAAAAGATTTCTGTAATAGATTTGTGTTTCTCTGCACAAATATTTGAACTTATTGTTATTTTTGGGGTTTATATGACATGAGTTTTCTGATCCGGACACTTTGGATCAAAGTCGGTTGGACACGACCCCCGGAACAAAATGAGTTTGGCACATCTGCACTAAACACTTAAAAGGAGGGCAAGAGTAGAATGGTAAAATTATTAAATTTATTCTATAAAAAGGAGGCGGACGTACGGCTCAAGAGCTAAAATAATTCAAAAGGGAAACCAGTTAAACCAGTAGAAGTTGGGACTGAACTATTGCCGCGTGAACTAGTTACGCCCGACGTCCGCTGGCACAGGAAGGTGGTGTCAGGTGAGTATTAAAAAAAATCAAGTGCGCCCCCTGCTGTCCGCCACGTATGGAAATTATATGATGATTATATTTCCGCTCAGCTGACGACAGCGACTTTAACAAAACTCAACAAAACCTCCACAAAACTAGTGAAGAGAAATGATCTGAGTCTGGATCAGTCTGTTAGTCTCTCACTTTTGATTCATATTTTAAATAAAAACACAGACTTTTCCACAGCCTCAGATCATTTATCACAAACAAAACTTTTTGCAGCATAAATGATAGAAATAGTTTTTGTGTAGGTCACAGTTTGTACACAAAGAAATACATTAAAATCATAATAAAACAAACCAGAGAAAGAGACAATAAACGAGAGAGAAGAGTGCAGAATGAAAACCTTCAGTCAGATCAGAAGCGTTTAGAGTCTGGATTTAAACCGAGTCAGATCAGAGTCTGTCTCATGTTCAGGACCAGGATGTTCATGTCCACACACCTTCACCACCTTCACATCTGGATCATCTCAGCCCTGGAATCACCAGAAAATCTCTCCTGAACTCAAACACGTGAATGAAACAAAACACAGCTCCAGCTCTGTGTCTGAGGAGCGGAATATTGGACTTTTAAATATCATAATTATCTGAGTGAGAGCAGAAGGGTCTAGTTAAGTCCTCGGGCCCAGGATCTTGGCCCAGACCCGAGACCAGCGGCTGTGTTCTTCTTGTTCTCTGCACTTCGCCGGAGCAGAACATTCTTTGGCTTCAGGAGAAACTCTGGAGCTGTGAAATATTTTACAATCCCAATTATGTGTCAAAGGCGGTATGGGGCAAAGTGGACTTTCTGGAGCTTTCTGCCAGTTTATAACGTTGTTTTAGATTCATAGTTTCATCCATACTGAGTGACTGAGAGCGATGTTTGACTAAAACATGAACCAAACGTATAAAAAATGCTTTGTTTTGGGTGAATCTAGTATTTTCAAAATAATAACATCCAGGTGATCTAAATTAGACAGGCTGACTCCACCTTGTGCCTCCGTTCAGTTTTATTTCTCTCCAGTGACGAGATCAGGAATCAGAAAACACTAGATCAGTGGTGCTCAATACGTCGATCTCGATCTACCAGTCGATCTCCAAGGTCGTGTGGGTAGATCGTCGTGTCTCGTCTCGGACTCGCGTTTGGACTCGGTCTTGTCTCTCACTCGAGGTCTGATCATATTTCATTCCGGCCGCTGCTGTTGGTAATAAACTTGTAGCGGGTGCAGGAGCGTGTGGGGCGTCTCAGTTCAGCCTGTGCGCTCATTTGAAACCCGCGGAGACTCTACGGCGCATCACAAACACACACGCTCCCTATGCACGGCTCGTCTGCGACAGCGTGTGCCCTCGTGTACCAGCGTGCATCACAGGGCAGGTTCAACTTCCTAAACATCCTACCTGTCCACCTGCCTCACGTCAGCACGCCGCCCCTCGCCTTTTCACGCTCTCGCTCCTTCCTGCGTACAGCCAACACAAGCCCCTCCCACAGTGCGGCTGATTAGAAGAACAAGACCAAACGTGAAGCAAAAACCAGTCTAAATTTGTGTTCCAGTGTTGGCACAAAGCAGGTCTACAGCATAGAGCGGATCTACAGAACAGACCTACTGCCACATTTGGCTGAAGTTTGTCTAACAAAAGTGACAAATGCATCTGTGTTTGTCACGATGTGCGTTTGGTTTGGTAAACGTGCAGAGGCTGGTAAATATCACTGCAAAACCACAAAAGAATGAAACTCCAGTTTGGAACTTTAAAAAACAGGTTTAAAAATCTTCCTTCACTTTTTTCACAGTTTTGTGTGTAAAGTGTCAGAGGAAGTTCTCTTAAAGAAGAGGTTCTCAAACTGTGGGGGAGGGTCCAGAAAAGGGCCACAGAGTGTTTCAGTGCAGTTTGTTTGACTTTGTATCAGGTCGATCATTTTGACTTGGTCATTTTGTAAGTAGGTCACATGATGAAAAAGTGTGAGCACCTCTGGTTTAGACGGTTTGGTAGAACCCGGAGGTGCAAGTTCGGGCATCAGCCAATCAGCGAAGAGCCAGACGTTCTGTGTTGTCAACGATTCTCGAGATCGAGGATTTAAAGCTGGAACGGTTTGGTGAATTTTATCAAGGCGAAAGACGTTATTGTCCTTCTTCCTACGGGATTTGGGAAAAACTTAAAATACCAGTTATCCCTGTTAACGGCGCATTACATACGTCACGACCAAACAGTAGCGATTAGTTAAATAAAAAAATACCCTCCTACTGTCGAGCGAGCGAATCCTAATGCGTAGATCTAAATCTTGTAATTACGTGACGAACTGACGCAGACAATAAGTGCCGTGATCGGTCGTCTCTACATCCGCTCTACAGATATTTCCTGTACTCCGCTTTCCCGCTTCATTTTGTAAACAGAAACGCCATTTTTAAAATCCTCGCCTCCCGTGTTGTGGCGGCGAATTACTTTGCAGCGCACAGACCTCGACGCGGATCCGTAAATCAAAAAAACGACAGCGACGAGGCGACGGCGGCAGAGTGCGGTGAACTATAAATGTTCGTAAAAAGCGTGTACTGGTATTTGATAAAAAACGTGAACGATATTTCTGTGTAAATATGTCAAGTTAGAACAGGGGTGTCAAACTCATTTTGTTCTGGGGTCGTGTCCAACCGACTTTGATCCCAAAGTGTCCGGATCAGAAAACTCATGTCATATAAACCTCAAAATAACAATAAGTTCAAATATTTGTGCAGAGAAACACAAATCTATTAAAGAAATCTTTTTTAACTGATGAACTCTTTCTTTTACAAAATATTATAATATTATGAACAACCTGAAACTTTAAGAAAAATACAATTTCAACACAAAGTTTTAACATGAACTTGTCTGTAAACAGGAATAAGTCCATTTTTGTTGTAAAATCCTGCACTCGGCTCCACTTTTCTCATGTTGGACATTTTTCTGATGAGGGTGTCACGGTCAACAGTCAAAACGATCGTCCTTTAAGAGCGTTTGGAAAGAGACAAGTCTTCATTTGTGCTGCTCTGGTGGGAGGGGCCACGTACAGAGACGCTGGAGACGCTGCTGTGATAAACACCACAGAAAATTAACAACATTTTAATAGAAAATATCATTACAATATTTTAGTAGAAAATCACCCAAGGGCCACATTAAAGGTCTTGGAGGGCCGGATCTGGCCCCCGGGCCGTATGTTTGACACCAATTTAGTTGATTCGGTTTATATTCAGGTGCACTCAATAGTCTGGAGATTACGGTAACTCCCCATAGAAGTAAAGAAGAAGTTTGCATTTGGAGATTGTAACCTTCTCTTCTCTCTTCTCTCTTCTTCTTCTTCTCTCGTCCTCAGCGTCCGCCTCGTCTCGTGTCCTCGCGGTGTCTGACCCCACGGAGCGCTCGCTCACCGTGTCCTGGAGCCCCGCCCCCGGCCCCGTCCTGCACTACCGCCTGAGGTACGTCCCCCGGGGCGGCGGGCGCGAGCTCAGCCTGAAGGTCCCGCCCGCGCAAAGCTCCGCCCTCCTGAGGAAACTGAGCGCCATGACCACGTACGACGTCACGCTCCAGCCCGTCTACGCCCACGGAGACGGAAAAGCAAGGCAAGGAGTAGGAACAACACGTACGTCCCAAATACGCAAAACCCGGAAGTCACAGTCGTAAGAACCAAACGAGAGCTCAGACTAAAGCTCTGCACACGAGTCAGAATAAATGTGTCTCAGAGGGAGATTAGTCAAAAACTCTGATAGTCCTGGTTTAGACCTGGTTTAGTCTGGTTTGGTTTAGTCCTGGTTTAGACCTGGTTTAGTCCTGGTTTAGACCTGGTTTAGTCCTGGTTTAGTCCTGGTTTAGACCTGGTTTAGTCCTGGTTTAGTCCTGGTTTAGACCTGGTTTAGTCCTGGTTTAGTCCTTGGTTTAGTCCTGGTTTAGACCTGGTTTAGTCCTGGTTTAGTCCTGGTTTAGTCCTGGTTTAGTCCTGGTTTAGTCCTGGTTTAGTCCTGGTTTAGACCTGGTTTAGTCCTGGTTTAGTCCCTGGTTTAGTCCTGGTTTAGTCCTGGTTTAGTCCTGGTTTAGTCCTGGTTTAGTCCTGGTTTAGTCCTGGTTTAGTCCTGGTTTAGTCCTGGTTTAGTCCTGGTTTAGAGTCCTGGTTTAGTCCTGGTTTAGTCCTGGTTTAGTCCTGTGGTTTAGTCCTGGTTTTAGTCCTGGTTTAGTCCTGGTTTAGTTTAGTTCTGTTTATAATCCTGGTTTTAGTCCTGGTTTAGTCCTGATTTGTCCTGGTTTAGTCCTGGTTTAGATCAGATTGGTCCAAAATAGAGACACTGGGACATTTCTTGTATAAAACTGGATAAATCAGTGGTTTTGTATAAATCTGTGGGACAGGGGGACACAGGCTCAAAACTGGGACTGTCCCGGTTAAAACCGGATCTGCTCACTTTATCCTAGTTGTCGTGAGATTTACCGTCATGGCAAAAAACATCAGCATTAACATAAGCCAACAGTTTTTCAGTTTGTCCCTCTCATCTTTTTGTTGAAAATAGTCGAGTTTCAGGTGACGTCATTGTTATTAAAAGTCCGCGTTGCTGCTGGGAAATACTTTGGTCGGAGGCAGGAAACACGGTACAAACACAGTGCAGAACCTCGAGTATTTCTCCCCGATAATGGTAAATTCCTGCTGCATTATCGGACGCACAAACAGAAGCACGGAAGAAGGAAAATTAAACGTCTTTCAAACATCCGCAGAGCAAACGTAGAAGATCCTAACAAACCGTGGACTCAACAAGTTCAACAACACATCCAGACTCTTGGAGGTTTTCATCTTTTCTGCTGTGAATGGCCCAGGAGTTTCCACCAAGTCATTGTGGATGTCGCCCAAGTGAATATTTGTCCAGGGAGTTGGAGATTCAGACCAGAAGTTTGGTTTGTTCCACCTTTTGTCGGGGTTGAAAAGGGTGATTTGTCGTCCGTCGATGCTTATGACCAATTTCTGGTCAAATGGTCTTGGGTCGTCTGCCGTTAGAGTGGAGAAATAACTGGGATCAATACCCTTTACGTGTTTTCTCGCTCCGTCCGTCGTGTTGAATTAGTGTTTCTTGCCGCCGACCAAAATAATTCCCAGCAGCAACGCGCACTTTTGTCAACAATGAAACTGGCCTGTAGAAACAGAGATGAATGTGAGCAGACGTCCCTGTTTTAACCGGGACAGGCCCAGTTTTGAGTCTGTGTCCTCTGTCCCAGCAGATTTATACAAAACCACTGATTTTATCCCAGTTTTATCAAGAAATGTCCCAAGTGTCTCTATTTTTGACCAATCTGATCCTGCCAGCAGTAAACAGAGACATACGTTGTTATTTATTTTGGTAAAATACAGAAAAGCTGCTGAAAAACGACCAAAACACAAAGAAAATGTGACTAAACTGACTCACCGAGTGCATAACAATCTTCTTTAATCACACACTCGTTTCACAATTGTCTTATTACCAACCACCACAAACCGGGGACGTCTCCGTTTTTGATTTTGTCGCAGTATTTTGGCGCAGTGACACCACAGCGTGTGTAGAGCGAACAGATTTTCAAAGTCAAAAACTGGCCGGGACGTCCTCGGTTTGTCGTGGTTGGTAATAATAAAATTGTGAAACGAGTGCGTGATGAAGGAAAATTGTTCTGCGCTGAGTCAGTCTAGTCACATTTTCTTTGTGTTTTCGTTGTTTTTAAGTGTAATTTTCTGTGTTTTACTTCAATAAATGACAGTTTATGTTTCTCTTCACTGTTACAGGATCAGATTGGTCAAAAATAGAGACGCCTGGGACATTTCTTGGGACAAATCAGTGTTTTTTTTTATAAATCTGCTGGGTCTGTCCTGGGTAAATCGGGGCGTCTGGTCAGTGTATCAAAAACGATGACACAAAAACACATTCTTCAGGATCTTGAGTAAATGAAACTTCATACATACATACATAAATAAATAAATGAATGACAGATTTGAAAGGAGTCCGTGGTTGTTCTGACCGCCCCGTCTCTCTCGTCTCCACAGTGTCTCCGTACAAACCTCCTCGGAACCTCCAGACCTCGGAGCCGACCCGCACCAGCTTCAGGGTGTCCTGGGACCCGGCTCCGGGCTCCGTCCGGGGCTACAAGGTCACGTTCCACCCCACAGACGACGAGGTGAACCTGGGGGAGCTGCTGGTCGGGCCTCATGACAACACCGTGGTCCTGGAGGAGCTCAAGTATGTGGAGAGAGTCCTGTGGTAGACCTGGTTTAGACCTGGTTTAGACCTGGTTTAGACCTGGTTTAGACCTGGTTTAGACCTGGTTTAGACCTGGTTTAGACCTGGTTTAGTCCTGGTTTAGACCTGGTTTAGACCTGTTTAGTTAGACTGGTTTAGTCCTGGTTTAGTCCTGGTTTAGACCTGGTTTAGACCTGGTTTAGTCCTGGTTTAGACCTGGTTTAGTCCTGGTTTAGTCCTGGTTTAGTCCTGGTTAGACCTGGTTTAGACCTGGTTTAGACCTGGTTTAGTCCTGGTTTAGACCTGGTTTAGACCTGGTTTAGTCCTGGTTTAGACCTGGTTTAGTCCTGGTTTAGTCCTGGTTTAGACCTGGTTTAGACCTGGTTTAGTCCTGGTTTAGACCTGGTTTAGTCCTGGTTTAGTCCTGGTTTAGTCCTGGTGTAGACCTGGTTTAGACCTGGTTTAGATCTGGTTTAGATCTGGTTTAGTCCTGGTTTAGTCCTGGTGTAGACCTGGTTTAGACCTGGTTTAGACCTGGTTTAGACCTGGTTTAGACCTGGTTTAGTCCTGGTGTAGACCTGGTTTAGTCCTGGTTTTAGTCCTGGTTAGACCTGGTTTAGACCCTGGTTTAGACCTGGTTTAGTCTGGTTTAGTCCTGGTTTAGTCCTGGTTTAGTCCTGGTTTAGTCCTGGTTTAGTCCTGGTTTAGACCTGGTTTAGTCCTGGTTTAGTCTTGGTTTAGTCTGGTTTAGTCCTGGTTTAGTCCTGGTTTAGTCCTGGTTTTAGTCCTGGTTTAGTCCTGGTTTAGACCTGGTTTAGTCCTGGTTTAGTCTTGGTTTAGTTCTGGTTTAGTCTTGGTTTAGTCTGGTTTAGTCCTGGTTTAGTCCTGGTTTAGTCCTGGTTTAGACCTGGTTTAGTCCTGGTTTAGTCCTGGTTTAGTCTGGTTTAGTCCTGGTGGTTTAGTCCTGGTTTAGACCTGGTTTAGTCTGGTTTAGTCCTGTTTAGTCCTGGTTTAGACCTGGTTTAGTTCTGGTTTAGTCCTGGTTTAGTCCTGGTTTAGTCCTGGTTTACCTGGTTTAGTCCTGGTTTAGACCTGGTTTAGTCCTTGGTTTAGTCCTGGTTTAGTCCTGGTTTAGACCTGGTTTAGTTCTGGTTTAGTCCTGGTTTAGTCCTGGTTTAGACCTGGTTTAGTTCTGGTTTAGTCCTGGTTTAGTCCTGGTTTAGTCCTGGTTTAGTCTGGTTTAGTCCTGGTTTAGTCCTGGTTTAGTCCTGGTTTAGTCCTGGTTTAGTCCTGGTTTAGTCCTGGTTTAGTCCTGGTTCTCACATGTTCTTGTTTCTTCAGAGCGGCGACTCAATATTCTGTGTCGGTGTTTGGGATGTTTGATGGGGGGGAGAGTCTTCCTCTGGCAGGAGAAGAAAAGACGACTCTGTCCGACGCCCCAGACCCGCCGTTACCCAGCGCCCTCGGTAATGTCCCGTACACCGGCTTTATACTCACCTGCGCCAGTCTGTACCGGTCTGTACCGGTCTGTACCGGTCTGGACCGGTCTGTACCGGTCTGTACCGGCCTGTACCGGTCTGGACCGGTCTGGACCGGTCTGGAACCAAAAACTAGAATCAGTTTTGAGTCAAATAGTTTAAAGAACATTTTTAAAACATCAAGCAAAAAAGTATGAGTCAAAATACCAAATAAAAATAAAAAAGTGTTTATCTCACCTTCTTGTCGGTGGTTGGTCTCCCTCCTCCAGCTCGGCTCCTCCACCAGAGTCTGGGAGTCTGAGATTATTTATCTTCAGTATCTTTGCTGTTCTTGTCCTGCACTTTTCTGGACTGAGTTGTTCTGATGTTTTTCCTGGTTTCTGCTGTAGCTTCTTCCAGTTTGGTGGTTACAGCCCGAGTGTCCTGATCACCACAGGCTCCACTGATGTCTTCACCTTCCAGACCTTCTCCAGCTCCTCCTTGAGCCTCTGGTGTTTCTCTAGTTTCTCATGTTCCTTTCTTCTGATGTTTCCATCTCTTGGTGTTGTGATGTTCCACCACGGCTCTGCTCTGTTTCTTCTCCACCTCCACTATGTCTGGTTGGTTCATCTCCATCCTGTCAGTCTGTATCTGAAGTCCCACAGGATCTTGGCTCGGTCGTTCTCCACAACCTTTGGAGGTGTTTCCCACCTTGACCTTGGGGTCTCCAGCCTGAACTCTGCTCAGATGTTTCTGTGACTGTGGCTCCTCTTGGTTCTGTGGCTCCATGTTTGTTTCCCTGCAGCGTCTGACACCTGCAGTTCTGTGCTGGACTGTGTCAGGAGACCTCTTTGTACAGTTACACTGTGGCTCTGGTCTGGTGGTAGATCTGGGCCTCTGTTGCTCTGGTGCTCAGGTCCTGCTCCTGAGCTCCAGGATGATCCTCTGTGTGTCCTTCAGATCCTCTCAAGACACTGGGAGGATTTCTTGATATCAGCCTCTTCAGTTCTGTTCTGGTGGTTCATGTGGGGGTTTGTTCTGTCATGATGGTTCCTCCAGCTCCTCTTCCTCTGGACTCCACTGTCTGAGACCTTCTCTGAGCTCCTCATCTGTCCGGAGCTTGTCCTTGATGTTCTCAAGGAGCTTGAATGCTTCATCCTGGACAGTGGTTCCCACATGCACTAGTCCTCGGCCTCCTTCTTTCCGCTGGTTCACACATGTATGTGGACCCGGTCAAACAGAAGTAAACATCAAGACCAAAAACTCAAGTGAATTCATCTGATATAAAACAGTATTGAACAGATACATATGTACTCGAGTTTATCAAACTGTTGACCTTTTTTCTGTTCCATTTTTGGTTCTAAAGTTCCATCTGTTTTAAACAGACCATGAATGAAACATGGAACAAAAATTATTTCCCAAATTTCAAAGACCCAAAAATCATGTAAATAAATGTTTGTATTTCATCATATCTTGTGTTATTCCATCTTTGAACTGTTGATGAAGGGACAGGATTTAAAAAAAAAAAAAGTATTTAAAATGATAAAAATGTTCTTGGAAGGACTGACATATTTTATAGAAATAGTTTCTTTCATTTTGAAGTAATATTAAAGTTTTCAGAAGAAAAAAGTGCCACAAATGATGTAAAATCCTGCACCTTCTACTTGTTTGTACAATTTTCCCTCCGTTACTTTTCCCTCCGTTACCATGAACTTTCTTAATAAAAAATCTCATGAGTCAAAAAGTCAGAGGTTTTTCATCCTAATCTTGTTCCATATGGTAGAAAACTATATGAAGCAAATATTCAAACCAGTTTGTTAAGGATATGGAAGTGAGAACCAAGAGTTATCACTGTTTGGATTTATTGACCAAAAAGTGCTGCATATTTCATTCCCTCCGTTACCGACATGAGTTTTTTAATTTTTTGTCTTGAACTTGAAAGAATCTCACAGGTTTAACTTGACCCTGTTGGAGTGTAACTCTTTCCTACATTCTGATACTTTACTTATTTCAATAGTTCCTCTAGTTTCTGAATAAGAGACATTTGAATGTCAAAAATCTGACCCCTGTTTCCCTCCGTTACACCTCGACCGGACACATGTATGTGTGTTTTTTTTTTTTTTGTATTTTAACTTTTATTTTTTGCTTGATGGTTTAAAGTTGTTCTTTGAAATATTTGACTCAAATCTGATTCCATATTTATATCCAGTTTAAACGCTTTTATTTTAATGTTAAGTGGACAAATTTATTGTGCAGAGAAAATGGAGGAGCTTAGTTTGAGGCCTCTGCTTATTCTCACTCCAAGTCCTGGTTTAGTCCAGTTTTAGTCCTGGTTTAGTCCTGGGCTTAGTCCTGGGCTTAGTCCTGGTTTAGTCCTGGGCTTAGTCCTGGGTTTAGTCCTGGTTTATTCCTGGGCTTAGTCCTGGGCTTAGTCCTGGTTTAGTTCTGGGTTTAGTCCAGTTTTAGTCCAGTTTTAATCCTGGTTTAGTCCTGGGTTTAGTCCTGGGTTTAGTCCAGTTTTAGTCCAGTTTTAGTCCTGGGTTTAGTCTTGGTTTAGTTCTGGGTTTAGTCCAGTTTTAGTCCAGTTTTAATCCTGGTTTAGTCCTGGTTTAGCCCTGGGTTTAGTCCTGGTTTAGTCCTGGGTTAGTCCAGTTTTAGTCCAGTTTTAGTCCTGGGTTTAGTCCTGGTTTAGTTCTGGGTTTAGTCCAGTTTTAGTCCAGTTTTAATCCTGGTTTAGTCCTGGGTTTAGTCCTGGGTTAGTCCAGTTTTAGTCCAGGTTTAGTCCAGTTTTAGTCCTGGGTTTAGTCCTGGGTTTAGTCCAGTTTTAGTCCTGGGTTTAGTCCTGGTTCAATCCTGGTTCAGTCCTGGTTCAGTCCTGGCTTTTTCTTTTTGTTTTGGCGCTCGCTGCTGCGTTCGATTTCAGTTTGATTTCAGTTTGATTTCAGTTTGATTTCAGTTTGATTTCAGGTTTGATTTCAGTTTGATTTCAGTTTGATTTCGGTTTGATTTCGGTTTAATTTCAGTTTGATTTCAGTTTGAGCCTCTTTATTCTTCTCGCAGTCGTCTTGAAGTGACCACACGTGACACGACGGAGCCCCGCCCGTTTACAAATCCTCGGGACTGAACGCGAGGCTCCCGTCGGAAAAAAACCTCTCTAACCCTCACCGTTCTTTTTTTTTTTTTTTTTTTTTCACGTGTTTAATTTCTTTTCGTTCTGACCCAAACCGCGGCTGTGCGCTGCTGTCTGGGCGAGCGGCCGTCTGCCTCTGCCTCTGTCTCTGTGTGTGTCTGTGTTCCAGGTGCGTCATCGTCGTCAGGCCTCGTAAATCTCCCACAAACTCCGGATTTAGGAAAAGAAAGGAAACGGGACGGACGCGGATGAAACCTGGATCCGACGCCGGCCGTTGCGACGCCGATACATGTGTCTGTTGCATAATGTGCTGTGTTGCCGCTGTCTCTCTTTCCCCCCACAATGCTTCGCTCTGCCTCTGATCTCCCCCTGATTTACGATGTTTTTTTGTGACGAAATGTGAAAAATGCGACGCCGCTGGTTCAGATTTATGCTTTTTTTTTTTTAAAACTGCACTCCGTCAAACTCACTGAAAAATCCATCCAGCGGGAAAAACCTGGGCTAGAATAGATCCCAGAGTCTCCAAGTTTAGAGCCTGGTTTAGGACTAAACGAGGCGGGGGGGCCGAGTTTAGTCCTGGTTTAGGCCCTGGTTCAGTCCTGATTTGGTCTTAGTTTAGTTCTAGCTTAGTCCTGGTTTAGTCCCTGTTTAGACCTGGTTTAGTCCTAGACGAGGCCTGGTTTAGGTCTGGTTTCATCCTGGTTTAATTCTGGTTTAGTCCTTAGTTTAGTTCTCAGTTTAGTTATAGTTTAGTCATGGTTTAGCTTTGGTTTAGACCTGGTTTAGTCCTAGTTTAGACCTGGTTTAGTCCTAGTTTAGTCCTGCTTTAGTCCTGGTCTAATCCTGGTCTAATCCTGGTTTAGTCCTGGTCAAGTCCTGGTCTAGTCCTGGTTTAGTCCCTGGTTTAGCCCCTGGTTCAGTCCTAGTTTAGTCTTAGTTTAATCCTGGTTTAGTCCTGGTCTAGTCCTGGTCTAATCCTGGTTTAGTCCCTGGTTTAGTCCTAGTTTAGACCTGGTTTAGTCCTAGTTTAGACCTGGTTTAGTCCTAGTTTAGTCCTGCTTTAGTCCTGGTCTAGTCCTGGTCTAATCCTGGTTTAGTCCTGGTCTAGTCCTGGTCTAGTCCTGGTTTAGTCCTGGTTTAGCCCCTGGTTCAGTCCTAGTTTAGTCTTAGTTTAATCCTGGTCTAGTCCTGGTCCAGTCCTGGTCCAGTCCTGGTCTAGTCCTGGTCTAGTCCTGGTCCAGTCCTGGTCTGACCCCGGTCTCTCCGCAGACTCTCAGTGTAAGACGACAGCGAAGGCCGACATCGTTCTCCTGGTCGACGGCTCCTGGAGCATCGGACGCATCAACTTCAAAACCATCAGGAACTTCATCGCCCGAATGGTCAGCGTGTTCGACATCGGACCGGAGCGCGTGCAGATCGGTGAGGACGGGCGCGCGCCTGACGCACCCGACGCACCCGACGCACCCCTGACGCGCCTGACGCACCCGACGCACCCGACCCACCCGACCCCACCCGACGCACCCGACGCACCCGACCCACCCCGACGCACCCGACCCACCCGACCCACCCGACCACCCGACACCCGACCACCCGACCCGACGCACCGACCCCCCACGCACCCCACCCCCACGCCCGACCCACCCGACCACCCGACCCACCCGAACCACCCGACCACCCGACCCACCCGACCCCACCCGACCCACCCGACCCACCCCACGCACCCGACGCACCCACGCACCCGACCACCCGACCCACCCGAACCACCCGACCACCCGACCACCCGACCACCCCGACCCACCCGACCCACCCGACCCACCCCACCCGACGCACCCGACGCACCCGACCACCCGACCCACCCGACCCCCGACCCCCCCGACCCCCGACCCCCGACCCACCCGACCACCCGACGCACCCCGACGCACCCGACCCCCCGACCCACCACGAACCCACCCCCGACCCACCGACCACCCGACCACCGACCCACCCCACGACCCGACGCACCCCACCCCGACCCACCGACCACCCGACGCCGCTCGACGCACCGACCCCCCCGACCCCGACCCCCCGACCGCACCCCACCCACCGACGCACCCTACCCACCCACCCACCCGACGCACCACCCACCCGACCCACCCCACGCACCCGACGCCCCACGCACCCGACCCACCCGACGCACCCGACCACCCGACACCCGACCCACCCGACCCACCCACCGACCACCCGAACCACCCGACCCACCCGACGCACCCCACGCACCCCGACCCGCCCGACCACCGACCCACCCGACGCACCCGACCCACCCGACGCACCCGACCCGCCCGACGCACCCCACGCACCCGACCGCCCCCGCACCGACCCACCCGACCACCCGACCCACCCGAAGCACCCGACCCACCCGACCACCCGACCACCCGACCCCGACGCACCCGACCCACCCGACCCACCCGACCAACTGACGCACCCGACCCACCCGACGAACCCCCCCGACGCACCCGACCCACCCGACCGTGACCCCTCCGACCACCCGACCTCCCCGACCCACCGACGCACCGGACCCCCTGACGCACCCGACCCACACGGGGAGGGCACCTGATGCACGGGAGGGCATCAGGAGTGGTGTGTGGGGGCATCAGGAGTGTGTGTCGGGGCATCAGGAGTGTGTGTGGGGGCATCAGGAGTGTGTCGGGGCATCAGGAGTGTGTGTGGGGGGCATCAGGAGGCATAGGGTGTGTCGGGGCATCAGGAGTGTGTGTAAGGGCATCAGGAGTGTGTGTAAGGGCATCAGGAGTGTGTGTGGGGGCATCAGGAGTGTGTGTCGGGGGGCATCAGGAGTGTGTGTGGGGGCATCAGGAGTGTGTGTCGGGGCATCAGGAGTGTGTGTGGGGCGTCAGGAGTGTGTGTCGGGGCGTCAGGAGTGTGTGTGGGGGCGTCAGGAGTGTGTGTGGGGGATCAGGGTGTGGTGTGTCAGTGTGTGTGAGGCATCAGGAGTGTGTGTGGGGGCATCAGGAGTGTGTGTCGGGGCATCAGGAGTGTGTGGGGGCATCAGGAGTGTGTGTGAGGGCATCAGGAGTGTGTGTGGGGCATCAGGAGTGTGTGGGGGGCATCAGGAGTGTGTGTGAGGGCATCAGGAGTGTGTGTGGGGCATCAGGAGTGTGTGTGAGGGCATCAGGAGTGTGTCATCAGTGTGTGTGGGGGCATCAGGAGTGTGTGTGAGGGCATCAGGAGTGTGTGTGGGGGCATCAGGAGTGTGTGTGAGGGCATCAGGAGTGTGTGTGGGGGCATCAGGAGTGTGTGTGGGGGCATCAGGGTGTGTCGGGGCATCAGGAGTGTGTGTCAAGGGGCATCAGGGTGTGTCGGGGCATCAGGTGGTGTGGGGGCAGGAGTGTGTGTATCAGGAGTGTGTGGGGGCATCAGGAGTGTGTGTGGGGCATCAGGAGTGTGTGTGGGGCATCAGGAGTGGTGTGTGGGGGCATCAGGAATGTGTGTCGGGGCATCAGGAGTGTGTGTAAGGGCATCAGGAGTGTGTGTCGGGCATCAGGAGTGTGTGTGAGGGCATCAGGAGTGTGTGTGGGGCATCAGGAGTGTGTGGGGGCATGGGGGCATCAGGAGTGTGTGTGGGGCATAGGAGTGTGTGTCGGGGCATCAGGAGTGTGTCGGGGCATCAGGAGTGTGTGTGGGCATCAGGAGTGTGTCGGGGCGTCAGGAGTGTGTGTAAGGGCATCAGGAGTGTGTCGGGGCATCAAGGAGTGTGTGTGGGGGCATCAGGAGTGTGTGTAGGGTATGTGACTGGTTGTGGGGCATCAGGAGTGTGTGTAATGTGACGTGTGTGTGGGGGCATCAGGAGGAGTGTGTGTAAGGGTATGTGACGTGGTGTGTGAGGGCATCAGGAGTGTGTCGGGGCATCAGGAGTGTGTGTAAGGGCATCAGGAGTGTGTCGGGGCGTCAGGAGTGTGTGTAAGGGTATGTGACGTGGTGTGTGAGGGCATCAGGAGTGTGTCGGGGCATCAGAAGAGTGTGTGTAAGGGCATCAGGAGTGTGTCGGGGCGTCAGGAGTGTGTGTGTAAGGGTGTGACGTGGTGTGTGAGGGCATCAGGAGTGTGTCGGGGCATCAGGAGTGTGTGTGGGGGCATCAGGAGTGTGTCGGGGCAGGAGTCAGTGTGTGTGTGTGGGCATCAGGTGTGTGTCAGCTGAGGAAGTGTGTGTGGGGCATCAGCATCAGGAGTGTGTGGGGGCATCAGGAGTGTGTGTCGGGGCATCAGGAGTGTGTGTAAGGGCATCAGGAGTGTGTGTAAGGGCATCAGGAGTGTGTGTAAGGGCATCAGGCGTGTGTCGGGGCATCAGGTGTGTGTGTCGGGGCATCAGGAGTGTGTCGGGGCATCAGGCGTGTGTGGGGCATCAGGAGTGTGTCGGGGCGTCAGAAGTGTGTGTAAGGGCATCAGGAGTGTGTCGGGGCGTCAGGAGTGTGTCGGGGCATCAGGAGTGTGTGTCGGAGGCATCAGAGTGTGTGTGGGGGCATCAGGAGTGTGTGTGGGATCGGGAGTGTGTGTGGGGGCATCAGGAGTGTGTGTAAGGGCATCAGGAGTGTGTCGGGGCATCAGGAGTGTGTCGGGGCATCAGGTGTGTGTGTGTCGGGGCATCAGGTGTTGTGTGTCGGGCATCAGGAGTGTGTGTAAGGGCATCGGAGTGTGTGTAAGGGCATCAGGGTGTGTAGGGCATCAGGTGGTGGGGGCATCAGGAGTGTGTGTAAGGGCATCAGGAGTGTGTCGAGGCATCAGAGTGGTCGGGGCATCAGGTGGGTGTCGGGGCATCAGGTGTGTGTGTCGGGGCATCAGGCGTGTGTGGGGGCATCAGGAGTGTGTCGTCAGGTGTGTGTGTCGGGGCATCAGGCGTGTGTGGGGGCATCAGGAGTGTGTGTCGGGGCATCAGGAGAGTGTGTAAGGGTATGTGACGTGTGTGTTGTGTGTTTCAGGTTTGGCTCAGTACAGTGGAGACCCAAAGACCGAGTGGCACCTGAACTCTCACCCGACCAAAGCCTCACTGCTGG